TATATATATATACACACACACACACTGTAAGTAACAAGATATTAAAGTATTGTTGGTCAACAAAACAAACAATTGGAGACATCTTGGCCTTTAGGAAGCTGTGATGATGTCTTTTCACATTTTATTTATTTATTTTTTTACTTCTTATTAACGCTAATGAAACCACTTTAATTGCTAGTTAAAGTCAGAAGTACAGAAATGTCAAAGACGTGTTTGAGGTGGTTTGGAAATTATGCCTTTACATGATTTGGCAGCTGTAGAGCACTGGCAAGTTTATTTTTCAACTGTATAGGTTGGTCACAGTTCATAAAAACACAAATGTGTTGGAAATGTTGACTTTCTTTATTTTAAAAGAAAGAATGTTGGTCAATGAATTTATAATTTTTTGAAATCTTAAATATCAGTATCAGCCTCCAAAAGCTCTTTATGAGACTTTAACAGGAATTTTTCCTTTGATAGAACTTTTCTTTACTGCTATTTAATGATTACCTACAAATAAAAGTTGTCTTTTGCATTGGTGGAGGTCTTGTACAAAATACTGAGAGACCAAAATTACTTGGTATTCAGTAGAAGGCGTGGAAGTAATCTGCATTCGAGCGCAGTCCATATGTAAAACACAGGGATATTTTGACAGTTTTTAAAGTATTGTAAAGTATTGCAGTGGGTGGATTTATTTATTTATTTTAAGAATATGCCCTGGAAGACGCACAAGTTCCATGATCCAAAATCTAAAATAATAGCTAAGAAAAACTTTTTTTTTTTGAGCAGGTGGATGACATCTTAGGAGAGGAGAGTGACAATGAGAGTGAGGGGCGAGGGAAGGAGAAGCCAGGCAATGACGAGGTGGAGGATGAAGAAGAGGAGCAGCGGAAGCAGCAGGCAGGAGCTGGAATGGTATCAGGAGGAGAACTCAGTCCTCAGGGAGTCAGTGTGAAGGAGAGGCTTCAGACACCATCCAGCAAGGCCAGTCTGCCAGGTGATGTGCTAAGGTGAGATGTAGAACTTCATTGTTAAATTTTGTATAATAATTGACTTTGGCTTTTGTTTTTTATGACATTCCCACCAGACCAGACATTTGCTATGATACGTTTACTCTGTCAGTTTCTCCCTCTTTCACTGTTGATCCTTGGCTTCTTGCATAAACACCTCGGACTGTGAAAGATGCTTAACTTAAATTGCAGTTGGCATGGATCTAAATCCATCGAGAGTCCTTGCAAATGTACTGCATATTTTCAGGTCTTACTTTTCCAGTTACTGTCATTGCACACCACTTCATCAGCACGGCGGTGTTGAAGCCAGATGGTCTGGTCCGTTGCCATGGAGACAAACTCCAAACAGACAGCAGGCAGTCAAAGTGTCCTGAACGTTAGTCTGTTATTACCGAAAGGCATGCCTGAGTTGAGCTGTTTTTGGCACGCTCTTAGCAAGGAACACATACATATTCATTACATGAAATAACAAAGCTGCCATAAAAATATATTGCATTTTATTAAAAATTTTATTTAAGGTATAGCATTAGCTATCTCTAGTTGTATTTACATTGCTCTCAAATATTCAAACATCACTTAATCCTCTCACATGTGTAATTTGAATTCCTACAGTTGCCAGCTTTGCATAATACAGTTTAATCTGAAACTCTGTAAAGTGTTTAAGCCATTTGGAATCCTCTGCCAGTGTTTGGGCTGCAGCCTTGTCTGTGCACTCTGTTTAGATGTATCTGGATATGCAAGATAATTCAATTATGTTGTGCTCTTAAGTGAAATAGCCTACACAGTCAGTTGGTCACAACAACAAATTAACTTTTTTCTTTTATTTATGAATACATAGCAGTGGCTATTCTTTTCTTTTTCTTTGGATCCTAACAGAGAAACTAGAAACAACAGCATTTAAGACTACTACATAGGGTTTATATTTTATTTTATTTGATCTTTTACACATCATATACTTGTTATAGCAAGAACAAGACAAGTAACACAGGAATAACAACTCAGTTTCATCATGGATTGAAATGCAATTTAGTAATTTATAATATTACTGGTTATCCCTAGTCCCTCACAGTGCTCCGCTGTAACCAGTCTGCAGTTGCTCTGGACTCCTATTATTATATTGGTAGCGCTGCACTAAAGTGTGGTGCAGTTATGTCTTTCATAAAATCTGAACTGAAATTAGATAGCTAAGGGAGTCATTGTGGTTTGAATCAGATGATGAATGAGAAGAAGATAGAGAATAGGAGCCAACACATTTGTTGGCCAAACATTAAAACAAAAGGAAACAAACAAAAAAAAAACACACACACATCCTCCAGTCTCCTGATGTAATAACCCTATGGTTAGACCACTGCCCTTCTTTTTCCAGACTTGGATTTTCTGTTTGCTAGTCCTTGTTCCACCTCGTTGCTTTGATCATCAGAGCTTTAAAAAGATAACTTGTTTGGAGCGTTTTTCTACACCTGCATGTACTCTAAGAAAGCTCTCTTGTGGTTGTGGCTCAGTATCCATGGCTGCTCAGGCATCAGCAGGCAGCAACATGATGATTCTTTTCCACCCTCTCCCCTTTTGGACATGTCAGTCCATCTGTCACCTGGTCTGACACCTTGGTTGCTGCTAATGAGCCAAGCCTGAAATACATGGTCCACAGCGCTGTTTACTTGCTGATGAAAATCTCTGGAAGTCCAACTCCAGTCAGTGCAGTGGTGCAGAGGAGGGGCACATGAGTGGACAGCTTGGCACACAAGTGGAAGAGTGTAAGATCAATTCTGAAAGCAGTGTGGACTCGAACTGGGGCCCCTTCGTAAAAAAAAAAAAAAAAATACCAGTAACATAGCCTAATAATATCACACCTTTTCTGGTCATGATTTACAACTGTGACCTCTGTCCCTGCTTCTCTTAGGTGTTTAACCCCTGTGCTGCTCTGACACTCTTGTAGGCTGTTGCTGGTGCACTCCTCTCTATCAACCTTGCCTGTGCTGTACTTCCCTCTGTCACTTATTTATTATTTTAAATATCACTATTGAAGTTTGGCTTTTGTTCTCGAATTGCCAACCAATAATTGTGCTCTAACTCAGATGAATGCTAAGCTGGCTTCCTTTTAAAAATATGTCTTAAGCCCAAAATGTGATAACCTGATGACATCATCAGAGTATTGCTATAATTGGTTTAGTTCCCCTTTAGCTATAGCAAAATATGACTAAAATATAAAATTCACAAGTGAAGGTTTTTCAAACTATGCATTAAGGTTGCAGCGGTATGAGGTTTTCACAGAAATGCTAAGTAAAACTAGGTATTAAGTAATATGCTATGCTGCATGCACTATAAGGTTTAACAAAGGCTGTGAGCCCCATACAGGAGAAAATAAGCAAATCTCTGACATCCACCTCTGACTGTCAGACTGTATTAATGTAATTCTTCTGTCAAACAGAGAAAAGATTTTAACTGTGCTGCCCCGTAGGCCATTAGAGGCAATTCAAGATTTATAGAAGAAGTCATATGTAGCTGCTTCCTGATGTAGACGTGAACTTGTGGGACCTCCACTCTTTCAAGAGCTGGCTTAATAGTGGTCATTCTGTCAGACTCCATTCCTGGTTTCAGCACTGTCCTTTAAAATATGTGGCACATAACAGACATACATCTATTGCTAAGATACTGTAGTGACGTGGATGTGTGTTTTGTTCTCACCATCATTCAGTGTCTCTTCCTGCCTTTCTTGTTTCAGTCTAATGTTAAAAACAATGCCACAGACACTAAAGCACTGGAAATGCAACCACATCTGTCTCCATGATTTACTAGACATCTTATTTAGGCAGTTACCTATAGGGGAATAATTTCTTGCTTATTTTTATCAAGTTGAGATCCATCCTACTAAGTGCAGAAAAATTTACAGCTACAGTGCCGGGTTAAAGCAGGTACAGTAACTATGTGGTTTCATAGAAATTAGGCAACATTTTGTGTCCCAGGGACCACTTTTGTCTACTGCTGTCTGAGGTAAATCAAAATAATTAGCTCTAACAATGTGATTCAAAGATGATTTATGGCCCTTAGCATTGTGAAGGGGATTAGTTCTTAGCTCCTTTGTTATCACTGCTGGTAACTGCATACAGCAAGTCTCATGAATGTTTTCACTTGGATAAGTACATGCTTTAACTAAAAAAGACAGTTGCATTAGATTAACTCTGCTTCACAAGGACTTTTTTTTGTTTGTTTGCTGATTAATTTTGGCGGATCAGTTTTCTGCCTCATTGCACATTCAAAGCATCAAGGATGTGGCAAACATATTAAACCTCCTGAAGCACACAATAGGTATCGAGTGATTAACATTCAGATTAATGCTTACCGTTTTACAGTCCCCGATCTCTGGAACTCTGTTACATGTACAATTTCAACACAGTTATTTCGCCATTACTTTAAATGCTGACTGAAATGAGGCGGAGAAGATGACTAACGGGAGCTGGGGCTACCTTTTATTGTACACTGGCTGACCAAAAATAAAATGTAATAAAATAAAAACAAAGGTTTGACTAGATGAGTCTCAGCCAACGGATAGGCTAATTCAACTAGACTTTGAGGAGGCAGCCCTAGACTTTTTTGTTTTCTCATAGATAATATTTCAACTTAAATGAGGATATGAGAGACAGAAATTGATCAGAAATCATTGGAAATTGTTTGCCTTGCCCTTTTGAGTCAGTAACAATGTTAACAATAGGTTTGTGATGCATGTCAGATACTGAGGTTTTACCATATGCTATGAAGTTTATTATTATTCTTTCCCATTGCACCACTATTCCTAGTGCACCACTGACTTTTTCATCCAATCTTTTCTCTTTTGAATGCGCATTTTTTTGTACAGCAAGTAGATCCATTCACTCTACATTTGCTATTATCAGTTCTCTTCACTTCTAACTTCCTGCCTCTGTAGGTGAGATGCATTCATTCAGATGCTCCATGTATCTCCAGCGTTTGCCGATTTCCCAATAAAAATGAAAGTGTGAAACTTATCAGCTTGAGTGAGCATGGTATAACATCACCAGCACGGAGGTGATGGAGGAGACATATGAGTTGTAAAGTTTTTTTATTGAGGTTATCATACAGTTTGTGAAATGTGTGAACCCAAGGTTGCAGCAGCAGCTTGATTAGAATCTGTCTTGGTTGTGACTATATGTATAAATAGCTGTTATAGCACAGTCATGCTTCTCTGTACCCCTTTTACTATCACTGCGCTCTTTGATGAACAACTGAACCTACAGTGTCTAATGGGTGATATAGACTAATGTGTTAATCACAATATTTAACTGTATTTTTGTGGTGGCTAAACTATAATAATTAAGCAGGCTAAAAAATTAGAACAAGAGTTTATTTTGCTCACAAGTTCCTCCTCCTTTTTAGCAGTTTTTGCATCATGGCTTTGGCTAAGAAAAATGCCACCACCTCCACCAGTTCATTCCAGCATTAACCTCTTTATTTAGATTCACTCTGGCCATTTAAACAGCATAAATCTTTGGCAGTGTGAACATATTACAGACACTAATATGCAAAGAGACTTTTATTTTGCAATGTTAATAGATTAAATTAGCTAGCACCATTGTCGCTTTAAAGTCAGTGACTAAACTTTTCAGCTGTTACAGCTTGTTAAATTAATTTGAACTGAAACTGAAAATGGCACCTTCAGCCCTACCAGGCAGTACATGTTTACTGATGGCTCAGTTGCAAACAGTAGTTTGATACTACTGACAGCAGCCCTGCTTATATATTATTTAACTAACCTCTTTTTCCCTTTGGTGGGCTGTAGTTTATTGTTTATAATTCCACACTCATCAGTACTAATATGTTGTTCTCATCAATCCTGTTGAGAGAAACACAATAAAACGAAAAGCTAAGAAAAGGAAAGTTTTTCTGCAGACACCACAGTTCATGTACCCGCTCTTGCAGATGCGTCTGTGTGCTTTGTCAGCTTTTGCCACTGCAGATTGCCACTGTTTTAAGTAACATTTTTGGAA